TACAAATAATAAATTTTAACTTGCATTTTAAGGATATAGAATAAAAAAATTCATATAAAATATATAATTAATAGACTATTTGCTAAATTAAGATGAAGAAAAGCAACCAACTACAAATGATGTTAGAAATATCATTAATAATATCTAGTAAGTAGAAACATAACACGTGTTTCATTTCCATTTCCATTTTTGACGTAAAGCATGCTCCATATAAATATAGACTACATTCGTACGAATCAAATATAAGCCAAATTATAATAATAGGATGTAAAAAAATTGAAACCTAATTATATGAAAAATATTAAGATATTTAATTACAACTATAAAATTAATAGAATATAATGTACATTTCATTAAAATTTCACTATATGGTTGAGATTGAAGGTTCTCAAATTTTTAATACTAAAATATTTTAATTTTTTTGCAACTAATAATGCCCACAATTTAATTCAATGTTGTGTTGTGTGGGGACCTCAACCCTTTTTCACTGCACTAGATGTGGCAAATTCATTAATATTTAATTGCTCTACCAAAATTCAACGGATAATTAATCACTTAAAATATAATTATTTATTTATGTGGGGAGTGCTTCATCCATGCACAAGCCAACATAATTTTCCAATTTTCACTTCTCAACAAGTTTTAGGCTAATGCATACTTGTACTTTTTTTCATATTCAAAGAGTTAAAGAGTTAAATGCATTTTTGGTATCATACCAATTCAATTTTCCATTCACTCACAATGATTTTAATCAATAAAATTAAGTTTACAGTGAAAATAAAATACGGTCAGGACAATTAGTTTGCCTCCTCCTCGGGGGACAGTGTATGAGATCCCCATTTACATCGAAGCACAGAATTACTTCTTGTAGTTGTTTTGGATGATTATAAGGTCGACAACCATATTTATCGGCACATATTAGTAGCGGACGTCGATTCAATTCCTGGTAGATCTCGTTGAAAATGTAATTGTAGTGCGGCCACCGGTTATTATTACGACGATATATTGCCCTCGAGAGAATGTTTTTAATCATTTCGTTGTACCTTTTGCCGAGTGTAACCGATTGATTGAAATAACGAAATTGGTTACCAAATACATTCAGGTAGCATCTTCCGTGCTTTTCCCATTCGGCACTCCAAAAATATTCATTAACCGGAAGACCATCATTACGGTAAAATAGGTCAGGCCAGTATTCATCCAATTCGGCTCGAATTGGACGTACCTACATATTCAATCAAGAAAATAATTCATCAATGACAAGCATCTCCGAAAGTAGAACTCCAAATCAACTCTTAAAAAACATTGATAGGGATGGATTCA